GGGGTGGGGGGTTATTGATTGGTTATTGTGTTTACTTATGATTGTTTTTTATGATGGAAAAAATAAATAAAATTTCTTAAAAAAAAAAAGATATAGGTGATTCATTGCTCATGGCCCTTTCATGGCATGGAATTGAGCTGTGAAGGGCAAAATACCATGATAGCACACTAATACCAACAAGAGAGTACATTATTATCAATTTAGTCAAAGTATACTTGCAAATAGCATTCTCTGTTGCCAAATCAAATGAAATCTTTATTATTAGGGCCACCTTACACTTGATGTTAGCCCAATGGCTTAATTTCTGATCGAAATCATTCTCCTTCTCTCCCCCCCCCCAATAGGTCTGGCTCCACAGGTTCTCAGTTACTTTTTTAAATCAACCTGGTTAACAAAAGCTAATTCCAAACTCAAGTCCTTAGGTCTCTCTTCGGAAAGCATCTGTCCATTAGGGTTTGAAAATGCCAGGAGTCATCTTAAGCAGTGTAACTGGATACTGAGTTTCCAACCAGTTTAAGCCTAGTTTCCAACCTTACAGATCATGAATTCTTTTTAAATGCCCATGTGCCATTATACTTCTATTGTATTGTATGTGTTTTTAAAATAATAATTACATGTTTCTATCTTTTACTGTTGTGCTCTCTGACTTGAAGGCCCTAATAAAGGTTTGATTTGAATTACGGCCACAGACCAGAACACATTTCCAGTTACTGATTCACAGAACTGGAGCTCTAGTCTATTCCTAGTCTTAAAAAGTTTTAAATCTACCATACTGTTATATAAATTGGTTAATATACTTCAGGAATAATTGCTTTGGGGAGATGTTTTATATAAAATTCATCCTGTGTTACATGCTTTCTGAGAGGAAAGGGGCAGGAATCTAGATATCTGGAAGCAGAAATGTGAACTCTCCTTTTGAAGTAATGAGTATACAAATGTTATACTATTGGAGCTCATGGTTTGCAAATAAAATGCATCTTCACCAACAGAGAGACAGGATACTTTTTTTTCTTAAAAAGCAAGGTGGATTAAAAAAAGATATCTTTCCATTAAACACGAAGTAATAAACAAGTAGAAATGGTTTCTTCTGTATATAAAAGAGGTTATATATGCATGTGTCTACCATTTATTTGCAGGGCAGAAAGAACAGCATCTAATTTTGAATAGGTACTACAGAAAATATCAAACGTTCCTCCTTTAACATGTAAAAATGAAGTTTTCTACTAATTTTAATGTAGCAAGATTGTGAGCACATTCCTATACTTCATTTGTATTAACAAGGATATTAGAAATCAATTAAGAAAAAAATAGTAGTTGTTCATTTAATGGGCTTGTTTATAGGAATTTTATTTAAGTAAAATAAGATGCATCCTTTTCTGTATGTCTGCATGTTTAAGAAAACATTTTTAACAAGGATAAGTCTACTGGGTCCTACAGAAATCCTTTATCTCTAGACAAACAAAATGTTGGCTGTTTTTCATGAAATTATACATGTGTATAAAACCACAGACTTAAAATATTACAGTTACTTCAAGAAAGGGCTTATTAAGTTGAAGCTACATGCACACTATTTTTTGGTTTGGAAAGACAAATTTAACTGTTTGTGAGATTGATGTTCTTATTTTTAGCACATACCAATTACATGCATACTCTGTATCCCAGTAACTGAAACTACTATTTCATAGGATTGTTTATATTATCTTACTGAGCTTATGAAATATCCTACTGAGTTTTACAAATTATAATATCATCCAAGTTAAATTTAATACATTGTGTACCAAGAGTTTGATTTAGATGAAAAGAAAATCTTAACAGAGGCCTGTCACAAGGGAAGAAACAAAGAAGAATGTTGTGAATGTGTTTTAAATGAAATGCTTTTGCATTTAGTAATGATGTGTTGTGCTTTTGTTTTGGTTGCAGGTTTTGTTTGCTGTTTGACTCAGAAGCATCAATGAATGCTTATCTCCAGAATGCTGTCAAGCTGAGAAGCAATTTGAATATAGGAATGAAGAGATAGAGGCTTGGTGAGAAGCATTCCCAATAGAAATTTCAACATAATTTTCCACTTTTGGGCAGGGCTTTTACCTGTTGACTGATGTTGTTGGAATACAGATGGATTGTAGTGTAGGTGCAAACATGGAATTACGAAGAGCCTCCAGTCCTCACAGGATGAATAAGAATGATGTGGATGCAGACAAATCCATGTTACACAGCTGCTGCATATGTGGCAAGAGTTTTCCCTTTCAGAGCTCACTGTCACAACACATGAGGAAGCACACAGGGGAGAAGCCCTATAAGTGCCCTTATTGTGATCACAGAGCTTCCCAAAAGGGCAACTTAAAGATCCATATTCGGAGTCACAGAACAGGCACTATAAGCCAGAGGAATGATGTGGAAACGGTAGGAGAGGCACAGCTTAATGAGATGAGAGTCTTTGAAGGCTTTGATGGTTGCACCAGCCCTACCAAAAGCACTTCTGCTTGCAACAAAATATTGAATGGAACAGTTCCCACCGAGGATAGCAAGATCTTGCTCAGAAGCAGCAGAAAAGAGGCATTGGCCGATGATGTTAAATTATGTACTGTTCAGTGCAACTTCTGTAAAAACAAATTTGAAGGGAAGAAAGAGTTGGAGCAACACATACATCAAGTCCACAAGCCTTTCAAATGTAGGCTGTGTAATTACATGACCCTAAGACAGGAGACCCTTTTAAACCACATAGAGAGAGATCATATTACAACTCAAATTCCAAATGGGGAAGCCTACACTGAGAACTGCAAGCCTGAGTCCAATGCTGGAGAATTTCCTTGTGAAGTCTGTGGACAAGCCTTTAGTCAAACATGGTTCCTCAAAGCTCACATGAAGAAGCATCGAGGCTCATTTGACCATGGATGTCACATTTGTGGCCGGAAATTTAAAGAGCCCTGGTTCCTTAAAAACCACATGAAATCTCATGGGCCAAAAGCTGGGAGTAAAAATAAGCCAAAAAGTGATTTAGAGCCCATGGCCACTATCAATGATGTTATCCAAGAAGAGACTATTGTGACTGGATTATCCCTCTATGAAGTTTGTACCAAGTGTGGAAACCTGTTTACAAATATGGAGAGTCTAAAAGCACATAATTCTGTACATTGTAAGTCTCAAGGAATTTGCAGTGATCACAGAGGCGAGAGACTAATAGATGGAGATTTGGATTCATCAATAGCAAAACAGTTTTTCTTCCAATATCTAAACTTGAGGCCGTCTGTATGGATAGACGGTGTTTCAAAGGGCCAGTCAGGTAAAAGAGTAGCTGAGCTGGATCCAGTGAACAGTTACCAAGCTTGGCACTTGGCTACCAAAGGGAAAGTTGCAGAGCCTTCTGAGTATGTTAAGTATTTAGGATGGGATGAAGTTCTGGCAGATGCTGATGTCACGTATGACAGGGACAAAAGGGAATATATTCTTGTTAGTCAAGAGAAACGCAAGCAAGAGCAAGATTCATCCAACTCTTCCAGTAATCCAAAGAAGAAGAACTGCACAGGTGGCCGTTCAGAGAAAAGCAATAATGCACAAGCAGGGGATAACTGCCTCTTTGGTCAAGATGACCTAGAATACAGACCATCCTCACGTCAAAGCAGAAGGGCATCACAGAACAAGTCCACTGAGTGCTTTGAGTGTGGCAAGATCTTCCGCACATATCACCAAATGGTGCTTCATTCACGAGTCCACAGGAAAGAGCGCCGAAGCTGCAGTGAAGGCGGATCAGTAGTTCAGCATGACAGATATGGTTCCAACAGTGAGGATGGTGATTCTGGATCTGTCAGTGCACCAAGTACACCAAGTTCTGCTTCTGCTCAAGAAGATTCAGTTACCTCTGGAATAGGTGAAGAGGGTCCTGAGGATAGTTCTGAGGAAGGAATACATGAGCCATCCCCATGTAAGTATCTGTAGGCAACTACATTTTAATTCACAAGTCATCATTTTGTTTTCTTTCTTGTAAAACTTTATACAGGTAGTCCTCAACTTACGACCACGATTGAGCCCAAAATTTGTTAAGTGAGTCTTATCCCATTTTACGACTTTTCTTGCCACAGTTGTTAAGTTAATTATTGCAGTTGTTAAATTAGTAACATGGTTGTTAAGTGAATCTGGTTTATCCATTGACTTTGCTTGTCAGAAGGTCTCAACAGCTGATCACATGATCCCAGGACGCTGCAACCGTCATAAATATGAGTCAATTGCCAATTGTCCGAATTTTGATCATGTGACCACGGGGATGTTGCAATGGACATGTGAAAAATGCTCATAAGTCACTTTTTTCAGTGATGTTGTAACTTCAAACAGTCACTAAATGAACTGTTGTTAGTCGAAGACGACCTATACATACTAAAGGCTCTTTAGTGTTGTTTATGTTTTTTTTTTAAAAAAATAAAAAGACCTAGTAGGATGAACAGAATTTCACCAGCTCTTTAAGGTGTGAAATGATTTTTGGCCACGGACTGATTCAAGGATACATTACAGGTAATCCTTGTTTAGCAATCCCAGTTGGGACTGGCAACTCAATTGGTAAGCAGCCACTAAGTGAAACCATGACTTTGCTTATCTTACTTCAGATTTCCTTTGCTTTACAGACTTGTGAAAGTTGTAAATGCAAGGATGGATCATAAAGTTACTTCTTCAGCACCATTGTAGCTGTGAATGGTTGCTAAATGAGGCTAAAGGAGGACTGTGTGTAATTGTACTTAAAGCTATTGAAACAATTGAGCAGTTAGGTAGTTCTATTAGGATTAAAGTTTGACTAAAGGTTGCCTAAACTGCATTCTATTTGGTGTCCAGTTTGCCTTATACAAGAGGAATAGTAGAGCTGAGTCTGTGGAGGAGTCAATCTGGATTGAGGGTATTGCTGTATTTAGAACTACTATATATGGCTAAAAGCAGGTTCCTTCCTTCACACTGTCTTCTTTAGTATGATAACTAGTACAAAATGATGGAGGGGAAAGGGCAGTGCATAAGGATTGAGTGTCTAATAGGACTAATGTCTGGATTTGACCCAGTTCCTTAAAATTGTATTATTACAGTGGCCAATTTCCACTTAACATTTATTATACTCAAATAGCAAACTAGGTGAGTTTTTGTTGCTGGAGTATGTCTGCACTAGTGATCCACAAGGAAAGGATTATGACTGCAGACCTGTTTCACCTGATTGGCATCCTCCATTCCAGAATCACTGAGTAGGAAAGATATGTGTAATTAACTTCACCTTTGTTGTTGATTTATTCTCAGCCACTTTCTAGGCACTGAATTGTACTTTGTACAATCAGCTCTATTTCTCTGAGTACATAACCCACATACTAGATTTAATTACAGGCTTTTAAAAAATCTGATATTATTACAGTAAACTCTTAATTTAGTAGACTTGAGTTTAGCGAATTTCATATTTAATGGACAAAAATATTTTTTGGAAATAAATAGGTTTGTCCAAATGTCTCAAAATAGTAGATTTAAAACATTCACTGCTTCCCCTCATAATTGATATTCACTGTTATTAAAAAAAGTAATTTTTTCATATTTAAATATATTTTGGGATGCTAAAAATCCTGTGCTAAAATGCTAAAATGAACATTAAGCTGCATTGGATAACTCCGCCTTCTTAATTTGTTAAATTGTCTTTATAATAATATGAAAATAATGAAGTGGCCAAATATGTCTGAGCATTAAAATTGGAGTTTCTTCTTTTTTGTTATCACTGCAGGTAGCATGGATGTTAAATCTTAGGATTTGCTATACTTTTTTTGACTTACAAATAATGGAAGACTTCCTTACACTAAGTAGGCATGATAACAGCAATTTATAGAAATAGAACATAAATCTTTTTCAAACTCCTATAGGAATCATTATGGCAGAGTCAGGGAAAGAGAGATGCTGAATCCATGCTCACTCACAGTTTTCCATGAAACTGCATCCCATAACGACTCTTTATGAAGTCGAAGCTTGGATGGGGAACTAGCCAGTGAAATTCTGTCCTCCTACTCTTAATTTCTCTGAAACTGTCAACCTTTTCATAGGAAGTCAAATATCTTTGTTGAATGCATAGAAGTGTAACTTTGAAGTAAGATCTATTCACTTATCTGAGTTTAGAATATATTTAGCATATCAGGCCCAACAAATGTTTTGAGAGAACCATTTCTAGACTTACCAGCTATCATGGCAATAGCATGTCCAAAATATATGTTGGTATAAAACTTGGGGAAAGTAAAATGCACTGAAAAATACTGCATTTTGTAATAGTGTCCTTATCACAAATTCATTGCATAGAATTGTGTTTTACGTCTAATCTATGTGATGCTCTCCATGAATCAATAATGATAATATTTAATGTTTAATGATTATTTAACAATCATCAGTAAAATATATACATATTCTTTTTCTTCTTCCGTTTTGATCCTGTGCTTTTAAAAATTGTATTCAAAAAACTCCTCGGCTAATTAATCCCTGTGGATTACTGCAATCCTTAGAGTCTGACTCTGGCTAAATACAACAAATTATTCTTCAACTAGAAGCAGGGTAAATATTTGAAAGAACACTACTGTGATTGCATTTGTATCATATTTTTCATTGCTTAGTTCTCTTTGTTTATGAGGCTCTTTCAGATTCTCTTAAATTCCAGGGAATTATTTTTTCCCCCCTCCAGCTTGTTTATATTTTTTGTTGTTAGTAGCACAGTGCCTTTCTACTGACTTTTCTCCCCCTTGAGAGTTAGCTGATTTGAATTTTCAGATTTTTATTATGCACTGGGAAGCTAAAGAAATAATCAGTGCAGTACTGAGAAGTTTAAAATGCATTTACAGTTGCTATACCGAAGAGCTTTTCTCATATTAACCAGTGACACATTTAAGCTGGTCAGCCTAGCTTATTCAGCCAAAAGTAATCATTGCTTTCCACTGAGTGTTAAGTACTTAAATCAGACAGTATTTGCAAATGTGTTTATTGCAGTCATTTTCATAAATTGACATACACTTTAAATTGCATGTGTGTAATGACTGAAACTTACATATTTCATCACTGTAAATTAACTTAATCTTCAACATTTTAACAATGTGAACATTTTCAAAAAAAGCATTTCTCAAATCACCAGTCAGGTCAGATGTGAAATTTATTTTATTTTCTGTCTTACTTCATATCTAGACTTTAGAACAAGTTTAGCACTTGGACATAAATAGATTATTTATGTATTACCCTCAGTTAACATTAAAAAGAAATTATCAGGAAATATTGTGGCAGAAAGCGTTTCCATATTTTAAGGCTGAAGAACTGGTACAAAAATAATTCTTTGTACATTTGCCCAAATATTGATGAGATTTACATGTGTGTAAAAATCTGTGTTTGTGTATTCACACATCTACATGCACACATCAATAAAACTGAAAGGCAATTTGTAAAATATCGAAAAGGTTCTGTCCCAGCAGTTTGCTGGTCGTGTTATAACTTTAAATTAAACATTTATTTTAGAGAAATATTTACCTGATAGATAACAATGTTGGCATCAGGTTTTGGTTTCCTCCTTTGGGAGAGGATTTCGTAAGCTGTCTGGCACACTGGGAAGGCCCCCTCCCTTGGAACCACCCACCTAATTTAATTTGACAGAGGTACCCTGCAGAGAAAGAAATAATAATCTTCATCAATTTGATATTCTCGCTGATCTCGTAGAAAGTCCCCTGNATCTCAGTGGAAGTTATAGTAAAAATATAAGATTGCAGTGTTAATAATTAAATGTATAGTTACTATCTGGCATTACATTAGGACAAAGTTTCTTATCTAATGGATGTGGATTGTCATCGATAAAATAATGCTTATTATGTAGTCACTCTGGAATTGCGGAAGTCTCATAGGAAGTTTAAGTCTGCTTTTCAGAAGCAAATGACAAGAGTCCTATTCTGTGAACTTTGGGGGAGAGCTTATTTTATTTCTGTTTCCTGTTTCTTTCCAAGTTCTTTGTACAATGTTCTAACTATATTCAGCGCATGGGATATTTTGTCAAGGCAGTGTGTAAATCAGCCAAGTAAATAAATTAATAATGAGAACAAATAGAACTCACCCAAATTTAATTATGAAAGTTGGTTTACAAATATATTTTAATATGGCTTTGCTGTTTGTAGAGCTCAAAGTATTTCTGAGGCATGTAAATAAATTTTAAATAATTTGAGGGCTCATAAATTGAAAGACATTAAAATAATAGATCACATTATTATGTAAGAAGCCACTGGGAGACATTTTATGAATAATTGCTTATCACATTTGTTCTTGGTTATGTGAGATAAAAGTCAAGAGTCTCTTATGTTACTCTTCCAATTTGCAGAGTTCATTGACTCAAGTACTGTTAAGTAGGTCAAATGCAGAACTACGTAAACTATATTGAAAAAAAATAAAATTCAAGATAAAAGTGTAACATGTCGCTAAATATTATAGATAAATTTTAGAAACCAGTGAGTGGGATTAACCCATTGCAAATTCAGCAAGCCAACATTTGAAAAATCCCAAACCGAAGTAAATGTTAATGTATTAGTTGCATTATTAAGTTTTTGTCCTGATACTTTTCCCCATCATCACAATGGCCAACTTGAATAAATACATTAAATATATTTTATTAATCTTCTGCTCTTTCCTTGATTATTAGTCATTATGGTATAAGCATTGATCACTTTTTTCCTTTCTGTTTTTTTATGGATTCATTTTATAATTGGGAAGGGTGAGTTAGATTATATCTGGCTATTGTGTTTATTTAATACAAATCAATCAAAGGAATAAAATATTTTTATTTATTAAAGATTTTGGTCAATGTTCAAAATTAAGTTTAATTTTAAGACAGTTATAATAAAAAGGAATTAAGTATTATAACAATAAAACTGGATATAAATCTTACCCACATAGACCTAATCT